TTTCTGGTGAGTACATGTGCCCTATAGCAAAAATCTCTCCAAAAAAAAAATTATTAAAATGAATTTCATTGGGACCAGCAGATGGCGAAATGGTTATGTTGCTGGACTCCTATGTAGTTGACTGCAGTTCGAGTCCTGGGCCTAGTGGCTTAAAACACATGCCAGGTGTGTGTCCAAAGTCCTGAGAGGAGAATGGAGGAGAAGGGATTGTGACATGGCCATCCCTCTGGGGGATGATTTCTCACTTTCTGTCTCTCTGTTTCTGTCTTTCTAGCAAGCACACGCACCCTGTAGTAAAACTCTCCCCCCCCCAAAAAAAAAAAAGAAAAGCATTTCTTTGGTTTCTTCTTACCCTCTTTGACATGGCCACTAGGAAAACCTCACACGTTGTTCCCATTGGTCAGCGTCAGTCTAGACCCTTCTCACCCTCTGTTCTCTTTCCTTCTTCTCTCTCAGAAACCGGCAGTGGCCACAAACGCCCAGCTCTGAGGTGCTCAGCTCCCACCCGTATCGCCTCCACCCTCCATGCTGTGGTCTGCAGACCCCTGGGCTGCTCCCCCAAGTCCCTGACCTCACAGCCAGTTCCCACACCATTCTCGTACCGCCACACGGGTCCTCAGCGACCTCGGTGTCCTGACGCCTGGCCCCAGGTCCTGGTCTCACCTCACACGAGCCTTCCTCTGCGCCCTCATTCCTCCCCTAGGTCCGCTCTACACTCGTCGTCAATATCCCCAGAACGCCGCTGCCCCGATCTGTCTCCACGTCCCACCCTCCAGTCCTCTTCCTGGCTCCCATAGCTTTCCAGTGCTTGGACCTCGGCAATCCCAACACCACTGGGATCTTCTGCAGACAGATGGCTCTCATCCCCCGGTCGCTGTCCCCACCTGCCGTGTGCCCTCGCTTTCTCCTGGCCCTGCTGGACTCCCGCGATTCCTCAGTGGCCAATGCGGTCGCACACTCCCATTCCTTCAGCCCCCGCCGTCCACTGTACCAGGCAAGGCCCACCCGGACCCGGTGCATCCAGCTCCCTCTTCCGGACCGCAGAGGGAGGGAGCCCTGCTGGCCCACCCAGGCTCCCAGGTCTGCCCGGCAGTCCTGCTCTCTGTTCCGGGGCCTGCCCTCCCCTCGGTTATTTCCCATCTGCCCTCTCTCCCAAAGCCCTCAGCACCTCCTCACTCCTGCCTGGTGGCCTTGCTCCTTACTCGGCTGGAAACAGAGACCCTGTGCATTCCCAGCACAACCACAACTCTGCCCTCTGTCCTGTCGTGTGAGTAAATTGTGTCCCTAGCAAAGGTCAGAAGCTCCCTGAGCTCTGCATTCCTGGGTCATCGCTGTTCCCTCCCGATTGGGTAATTCCCATCTGCTTGTCAGCTCTCCTGTCGTCCCACAGCCCGAGAGGGTGTTCTGTACTCGCGTCTCCACTCGCTCCCCTCCCAGTCCGCCTGAGTCTCCTCGTAGTGTTCATTAACTCACTCTGCTGAATCTGCCCTGATGACAGTCAGGCTCGGTGGCCTCAGCACGCCGGACACGTTCTTCTCCTCGACCGCTCCTTACGTGGCTTCCTGGACGCCGCCCTCCCCGGTTGTCCTACGTCTGTCAGGTCCCTCTCAGTTTTCGTGGCTTCTTTCTCCTCGTCTCTCCAGACTCTGAGCTTCGAAATGCCCCCAGCTCAGTCCTTGAACCTCTTCTTTGTAGTGTCGGGTATTTCACAGCCTCATGATCTAACATTCCTAATCTAGTCCTGTGATTTTAAATTGTGCCTGTTTGCAAACGGCACCCAGGTTTGTATCCTCAGCCTCCAGCTCCCCCCACCTCCCGACACCACTGGGCACCTCCACTGGCTGCTCGGGGGCTTTTCGAACTCCACGTGCGTCCCCCCCAGCAACCTGCTCCACGGCGCCTCACCTGGCCCATTTAACAAACGGCTGAACTCTATCGTAACGCGTCTCGTCTGTCAGCAAATCAGATCGCATCTGGGGCTCCAATCAGGTCTTACGCTTCCCTCCACCTCCTGGTCCCCGCTACCGTGTCTGGCACAGTCTCCTCTTCCTGCCCCCCTCCTCCTGCAGTGGCCCCTGGAGTCTGATCTGAACACAGGCCGTAGCGTCAGTCACGTCACTGCTCCTCGCAGAAGCCTCCAGTCTTCCCAGCTCGCCTGGCGTGAAAGCAGACGCCTTAGAACCGCCTGCGAGGCCGACTGGCCCAGGCCCCTTTACCTCTGCCCTCGCTTCCAATTCTCCTCCTGGCTTCTGGTGGCCACTCGGCCTCCCTGCCGGTCTGCATCTGGCCCCTCTGCAGAGAGGCCTTTGCACTCACAGTTCCCTCTGGAGTACCCTTCCCCCAGAATCTGCAGCCTTGATTGCCTCTGCCCTCCTTAGCCCAGGGGTGATCTTATTAGGGGGACCTTTCCCACCAGTCTCTAGAGGACAGAGACCCCATAGACCTGCCAGCCTTTCCCTTCCAGCCCTGCTCTACCTCCTGATGCTTGCTGTGGTCTGACCTCCTTATCTGCTCATATTGTATTTGGGCGTTGCCTGCCTCCCCACTGCAAATTCCGGGAGGCTGGCACTTGGTTTGCTTTGGTCACCGTTATGTCCTGGTGCCTGAAACTGCCCAACCCTGAAGGAATGTTCGATGGTTGGTGTGGGGAAATGACCGTCTTGCCTATAAACGTCTAACATCGCCTGGTCTCTAGGGCAGCCCTCCGGTGAGCTGAAGCATAGTGCTGTGAATTTCTGAGGTCCGTGTCTTCTGAATACGGAATGAAATGAACATCTGCCCCCAAAGCTAATTTCCTGAACCCACAGAACCATGAGGGAGGGGTTCGCGAGGAGAGGTGCTGTCGGGACAGGGAGCCGGATCCTCCTGGGCTCTTGGATCACTCCTCCGGGGAGGGAAAGGCCTGGTCCCCCCACTGGGTGCCCCTGAGAGTCAGGGCCCAGGTGCGGCTGCACTGAGACGGAAACTCGGGTTCCCACTCACGCTGGGGCTCTGCTGGTTCAGTTCTGGAAATGCCTAGTGCCAGCAGAGAATTCGAGTGCCACAGATAAGACACTTGGCTCCTCTTCTGCTTCAGATGAGCTTGTGAGGAAAGGGCCAGAAATATTTCCACTAGAAATACGTGTCCATCAACTTCCTAGAGGTCAATTAGTATTTTTTAAAGGTATTCTTTATTTAAATTTAAAATTTTTTAAAAATTAATTTTAATTATTATTTATACATTTAATCACTATACATCATTTAGATTATAAAGAGACTTTACCCAGCATGGTCAATTATTATTATGTTTTAAAGAATTATTTTATTTAACATTATTTATCATTACTATTACTTTCCAGTTTGATCAGAAAGAGAGGGAAAGTGAAGAAGTAAGCCACTAGGTTTGGGACTTGAACCGTGGTTGGCCGTGTGGGAGTCCAGCACCTTTAACCACCACACCACCTACCAGCCCCATTATTATTGTCGTTGTTATTATTTTTTAGAGAGATTTTGGCTATAGGGCATATGCATTTGCTGGAGATACAGAGAAAGAGAGAAAGTGAGAAATCACCCCCCAGGGGGGACAACCACACTGCAATCCCTTCTCCTCCATTTTCCTCTCGAGAGTTTGGGCACACAGGCACATGTACCTGGTGTGAGTTTCAAGTCACTGGGTCCAGGACTTGAACTGTGGCAGGCCATGTGGGAATCCAGTACCTTAACCACTATGCCACCTACTGGCCCTCCAAGGTCAATTATTATTTTGCACATGTAGTGGGACCAATCTGCAAGGACAAAGCTCAGAAGCAAAGACCACTGTTGTCACACACCCCTCCCCACCACGCACATGTGTAGAAAGCCAGGGACGACACTGGACGCGGGAAATGGCCTCAGCTGACGGTCTCCTTTTCCTCTCTCTGGCGCTGAGGTGTGACTCCGACACATTTGCTACCTCACAGCAGGGGCTGGGGCTCTGTGTGTACTGATTTTCCCACCAGCCAAGTGAGGGCAGTTTCTAAGAAGCTCTAGTCTGCAGCCCCAAAGAATTCAGCATTTTCCTGGGCTTCGGGTTAGTGCTGTTCCGTGGCGATCCACAGCACCCTCCCGGCCTCGGTGTGCGAGCCACGCCCGTTTGCTCACTCACCATCTGCTAGGCGTGGGCGTGCACGGCACACCTAGCCTCAGGAGCTGCCCGGCTTATGCACATACTGAGGCCACATGAAATAAACGCCTTTAATAGTTCACACTTTGAACAGTGTTGGCACACTATGAGGCCCAGTTTTCCCAGGCACGTCCTCTCACTTCCCCACCGCGTACGGCACTGTATGTATTAAACGTGACAACAGCAACACTGCCCAAACGAGTATTTTATAATCAAGTCTGCATGCTGTCACCCGGTCTCGCGGGCAGGGAAACGCAGGCACAGAGGATGAACTGATTCTCAGAATGCCACCGGAGAGCTCGGGCGAGTTGGAAGCAGGCCCGGGGCTCCTGCCGCCCTTGCTTCACAGCATCCGTCTTGGCACTGAGCCTTGGCCATGTTGGCAAAGGAGGAGGGCCTGCGGGGTCCCAGAGGCCACTGGCATTCTCTCAGTGGAATGTCCAATTACATCGTCACTAGAGCTGCAGGGCCGGTCCTGTGGCCTACTGACCAAAGGAGCCAGAGTCCATGTTCCCACCCTGCAGTTGGAATCCCGACGCTGGCAACTCGGGAAACATGCCAGCACATGTGCGTGCATCCCCACGTCCGGATGGGACAGAAATGGAGGGGACAGGATTGTGGTATGACAGTGCCCATTGGAAGGAGCTTTCTCCCCTCCTCTCTGTCTCTCTCTAGCGAGTACATGTGCTCTCTGACAAATAGCAAAAAGAAGGAAGAAAGAGAATTGTATAGTTTATTACATTTTACCAAAAATAGAATAAAGGTTCTATTACCCACAGCTGAAATCCTGCCTTCTGTTCCAATTCTCTAGTTTTCCTGGTTTTGTTTGTTTGATTGGTTTATAGAACATTACCTGAAGAGCCCCAGCCCGAGACCTCCTCATGGATGAGGTAAACGTGACGTCACCGGTTGCCGAGGGACCCGCCAATGCCTCGGCCAGCGGGAACCCCGCCGTCGGGAACCCAGCGCGTCACGTGCCTGCGGTGCACTGGGTCATCGTGAGCCTCTCCCCGCTGGGGTTTGTGGAAAACGGAATCCTCCTCTGGTTCCTCTGCTTCCGGATGCGGAGAAACCCCTTCACGGTCTACATCACCCACCTGTCGGTGGCGGACAGCTCCTTACTCTTCTGCATTTTCATTCTGTCGATCGACTACGCTCTGGGTTATGAGCTTTCCTCCGGCCGTTACTACACAATCGTCACCTTATCCGTGACATTGCTGTTTGGTTACAACACGGGCCTCTACCTGCTGACAGCCATCAGTGTGGAGAGGTGCCTGTCCGTCCTCCACCCCATCTGGTACCGATGCCATCGCCCCAAGCACCAGTCGGCTTTCGTCTGTGCCCTCCTGTGGGCACTTTCTTGCTTAGTGACCACCATGGAATATGTCATGTGCATCGACGGTGGAGAAGACAGTCACTCTCGAAGTGACTGCAGGGCGGTCATCATCTTCATAGCCACCTTGAGCTTCCTGGTCTTCACCCCGCTCATGGTGGTGGCCAGCACCATCTTGGTGGTGAAGATCCGAAAGAGCACGTGGACTTCCCACTCCTCGAAGCTGTACCTGGTCATCACGGTCGCCATCGTCATCTTCCTCGTCTTCGCCATGCCCATGAGACTGCTCTACCTGCTCTACTACGAGCACTGGGCCTCGTTCGGGAGCCTCCACCACGTCTCGCTTCTCTTCTCCACCATCAACAGCAGCGCCAACCCTTTCATCTACTTCTTCGTGGGCAGCAGTAAGAAGAAGCGGTTCAAGGAGTCCTTAAAAGTTGTTCTGACCAGGGCTTTCAAAGATGAGATGCAGCCCAGGCGCCAGGAAGACAGCGGGAATGCCGTCACAGTGGAGACGGTCCTGTGAGGCCTGCGGAGGGACACTGTGGGCCGGAGGGTGGAGCACAGAGAGGTTTTAGTTTGTGCTTGAAAAACAACTTAGTAACCCGCGCAGGCTACGGCGGGACACCCTGTCTCACATGTTTGGGACACTCACGGTGTCGAGATCGCATTCTTGGGCTGTGCCTTGGCGATGTGTGAAGTGTGCTGGACCTCGGCCACTTCCGTACATATCCCAAACTCTTCCTGGGCTTCTCAGCTTTTCTGGCGGATTTTACCATGAACCATAAGGAGCACCATGGCAGGAAGATTTACAAATGTCACGGGAAAAGTAACAAAGGCATTCGTTGGAACCTGCAGAGGCAGAACACAGTGGCAAGGACATGGGTTTGGGAGTCGGGTAGAGGTTGTCCTTTGCCACCCATGTGACCTCAGGCAAGTGGCTTAACCTCATGGAACCTCAATTCCTTACCCGTAAAATGGTAACAGCAACAACCTGTGTGTCCCAGGGTTATCGTGAGCGGTGTGCAGGCACCTGGCACATTGTCCGTGGGCAATAAACGTCCGCCTCTCCCAGCTCCTGTAAGTGGAAGGCACAATATGTGTTCCTGTTCTATAATGCATGCACGCACACAAGCATACACACCACTCTAGCACGCTCAGATTTGGGGATACGTTTTTAAATGCTGGACGTGCATTTACGAAGGCCTTTTTGCTTGTAGCATGCAAGCTTCTTGTAGCGTGGCATCTCTTTCCAGGACACGGGCAGACGTTGCCACCTAACCAGCCTGGGTTAGAGCCTCGATCGGGTGGTGAAGGAGAACGCCTGCCCACCATGGAGGAGTCTCCGTGGCTCTCCGCCCTCCGTGAGACACCAGCTGCAACGAGAGTCTGTTCTGCAATCCTTCGATCGTGCAGAGGGTTTGTGAGCAGAACGTACTACACTGCTCGTGAGGGTGCCGGCTCTCGAAGCCGCCTCCCCGTGCCGTGCTGTGTTATTTCCAACCACAGGTTTCCACCTGCGGCCAGGGCGGGCCTCCGTGCTGCACCTCCTCTCTTATGCCATTTCTTTGTGTCCCTCCTGGAGGGAGGCCCGGAGGCAGGGGCCAATGAGAATGTGGCCCCATCTCGGAAGAACCTGGGCAGATCTTCCTTAAGACGGATCTCGTCTTCCTCAGCACCTTCACTCCCCACCTGCTGAGGTGGGGCAGCTCCACCTCCCGCCTGCCGTGAGGCACCATCTTCAGACCACACACCCTGGGTTCTAGCCGTGAACCTACCTTGGCCCAGAGCCTGCGTTGCTATGTTTATTATCGTCTGTCCCTCTGAGGAACCCACAGGTGGCGCTGCTTCGTGCAAGTCTATGGGGAATGAAATGTCAGGTCTATCCGCGAGCCAACTGGTCGTTGTTCGGACTGTTGTCCTCTAAAGAGTCAGTGAGGCAGCGATGATGTGGCCTTGCCGACTGTTCCTTCTCCATTCCCCTCCTTTTTCAAAGGGAACCACTGCCGAAACCACGGGGTCGCTTTGCTGGGGAGAGCTGTGAGCCTTTCCCCAGAGCCAGGACCCTGCCTCTAGCTGAGCTTGATGCTGGAGGCTTTTCAGTGGTGACGGCATCTGATTCAGAAAGCAGGCGGCTTGCCTGCAGGAGCCCAGATGGGGTGTGGAGCGGTGACATTTAGAATGATCTCGTTTGGGGTTGAAAACAGAGCATCTTCACTGGGAAAGAACAGAATACGGAGATCAGAGACTGTTTACCATGGCCTCCTCTGATGCCGCCGGGCTCTGGGTTCGTGTGCGGGGGTCGACCTCATCTGGTCTCAGAAGGGAGCTCGGCCTCAGATAGGAATGTCAAGACTGCTAGGTACAAGAAATTGCCACCAGGGAGGACCCCATGAACTAGTGGGGAGTCCTCTTTTATGCCTCTGCAGGGAATGAGGGGAACTAGAATGCGATCATGAATATAAACATTCTCCTAGCCTTTTAAAGGGTAAGGCCTTGCGAGGAGGTGGGGTTCAGAGGTTAGCGGTGTGGTAAAGATGGATGCCTTCCTCTCTTCCCCTGAACGCATTCCCAGAGTGAATTACAAATTTAAAACCCAAACCAGATTTAAGTCAATTGGAATATGTGGAGAGAAAACGAGATAATTTACCCCTTGGGGGATTTTAGACAGTTTGCCCAAGTTGTCGTAGGTTGCCAGTGCCATTTCTGAGTCTTCTCGGGAAGAGGAGAGTGTTCAACACAAGGCCTCTCTGCAATGGAGGGAAGGGCTGTAGCACTCGTGTGATGGGCACTCAGGGACGGTCGTCTCTGCAAAGCACCGCAGAGTGAAGGAGGCCGAGATGGACCGGCGGGAGCCCCATCCTCCACGATGGGAAAGACGCGCCTAATAACATCTCCAGGCCGCACACGGTGATGCTGGAGAGTGTGAGGACGAAGCTGGGAGGTGGTCAACAAAGGTGAGGGCTTTTACCGCGAAAGAGAGGTCTGCTGGAGGTGTCCTCTGGGTCTCTAAGGCAGGTGGGACTTGAAGGCCAAGGACGGAGGCGGGGACCCAGGCAGAGGGTGGGGTGTGAGGCCGGGCCAGGAACGCAGCCACAGTGAAGCTGTCTCCTTGCAGGGAAGCTGGAAGGGATGGGGAGTGGGTGTCCAGTGGTACTGAGCGTAAGTTTGGAAGATGAAAAAGCCGTAGAGACCCACACACGACAACGTGGATGTCAAGAACAGGACTGCAGTGTACCCGTAAAGCAGCGAAGACGGGAGGTTTCACGTTGTGTGTATTGTATTGCCGACGCACACTGGGAAAAATCACATTGTGCGCTGTAAAGGTGTACAGTGATCAAATGTCAATGGAAAAATAAATTTCCAAAATTTCCACTAAAATTAGAATAAATGCTTGAAACCTCTTGAAAAAAAATAGTTATACTGTCCAGGTGCTAGATGTGTTTCTTGGCATGCTTGTGGCAGCTGGGCCAGTGACAGGCACTGAGTCGAAGCTGTTGACAATGGAGAAGGAAGACATCGCTTACTCCAGTAAGCTGAGCGTGGCTCTGTCTCCCGAGAGAGACAGAGACAGCCTGTGTTCTCGGGAGTGCAGTCTCCTCTGAGACTCAGAGAAGTGAGCCCACGTGAGTTCAATGGCGGCACCGTGGCAGTGGCCCAGAGCACAGCCATCTTCGGCTTTGCAGGCCACGTGGTCTGTGTTACGACGACTCGGCTCTGCAGTTGTCGTAACACCTACGTGAGAGCAGCCACAGACAACATGGACATGAGTGAGAGTGGCTGTGCGCCAATCAGTTTCTGTTATGAACTTATGTCTAATTGTCACATGTCACAAAAATTCTCCTTTTATTTTCCTGCACCCATTAAAAACGTGACGTATTCAGCTGGTCGATGGCACAATAAACAGATGGCATCTGGAGTTGGTGCACTTTGGCCGTGTTTGCTACCCTTGATCTGGAAGGTTTTGGGGACTCTGGCTTCTGGAATGTTCTCCAGTGTGGCTGCAGCACAGCCATTTGGAAAGCCTGACCTGGGTGGAAGCCGCACTTCCTCGTTTCCTGGTGGATTTAACTTTGCAGAAGATCCAGCTGACCTCCTGACAAACCCCATGCATAAGATCGGTATGAAGTGAAAAATTCTGTTTGCTAAATCACAAGGCGATGTAGAAAGCGAGAGACTTTCTGTGGTAGATAAATGGGCTGTGAATATAATCCCAATTTTATACGCACAGGAGCTAGTTTTTTCACTCATTCCACACTACATTCAGAGGGAATGATTGAAGATTTTCAGAGATTAGAATGGAATGTTCACGCATAAAATTTCTTGTTGGGTTTTAGGAGGATAATTATCTCACATATGGCTTTGGGTACAGCATGAATAAAATCTAGCTGCTAACCAGTTAAACACCAGAACATTCTGAATATGGGGTTGATTAGCACTTGCAAGCCCCGTGCCATCGCTCGCTCATCTAAACAAGAAGCTCCAGCCTTGTCCCCAGTCGTGGGAAAAACTATTTCAGAAGCTTTGCTGCAAAAGTCATTATTATATGGACTGACTGACACATGCTTTTGATCAAAGGTACCCTCTAAAATGATTTGCTCTTAGGCAAATGTGGAAAGCTAAACACATTCCTTAAAACACATAAAATAATGATACAATAAAACAGTATTTAAGGTCCTTCAGGTTCTTTAGCCCACGTTGAATGTGTTTGAATGTTTACCGGAATCAAATTGCCGTAGGGACTTCCTCCTCTCTCTCTCCTTCCAGGGAGAGAAAGGGTTAGGCCTGAGGGCGGAGGGCGGTTTTCTCTCCTGTATGTGACTGAGCCAGGGATGCGCTGGGGGAGTGCACGACAAAGCCGATTGTACTTTAGGAGGATTCGGCAGTTCCAAACCTTGCCTTTTATTTCGACAAAGGATGAGGCTGTTTCTTAGCTGATTTCCAGGTTTGAAGGGTTTTCTGTCGGGTCTGTGAAGCAGGACAACCTACGTTGTTTTCAGATTAGATGGGTCAATTGCGTGGCCCGTCTTCGTTCTGGATGTCCAGACATTTTCCCTGGGACTGTCTTCCAGGAAGGTGGCCGTTGTCGCTCAGCACCCATTCCACGGCGGCCTTCGCATGCTCCTGCTCTCCCACCCTTCCTGCTTGCAGTGACATTTCCTTCCAGACCTGACACCCACCTGCCATGATCTGATGGTGTCCTTCTGCTCCCCAAATACTCGCATTGGAATCCTGAGCCCCAAGGTGATGATATTTAGAGGTGGGGCCCAACATCCCAGGAGGAGAATGGAGGAGGAGGGATTGTGGTGTGGCCATTACCCCCTACCCCAACCACCACCACCACACACACACCTGGGTAGTGATTTCTCACTTTCCCTCTCTTTGTCTCTCTATACTGAGTACACATGCCATATGGCAACAACAATTTAAAAAAAAAAAAAACCCTAAAAAAGAAAGAAAAAGAAAAGGAGGTGGGACCTTTGGGAGGTGATGAGGGCAAAGCTGTCACTGAACAGGACCAGCACCCTGATAACAGAGACCCCAAGGGCCAACTTAGCCTGTTCCAGCAGGCGGGACACAGCGAGGAGGCATCTGTGACCCAGGAAGAGCCCTCACCGAGCCCTGCTGGTGCCTTCATCGGGGACTTCGCAGCCTCCAGACTGTGAGAACTAAATTTCTGTTGTCCATAAGCCACCCGGTCTATGGAACTTTGTTACAACAGCCCGAACCGCGACTTTCCATTGGTTTCCTTATTTGTGGTATAGACAGAAGTTTGACTATTTTTCCTATTTTTGCAAAATCTTTTTAAAAGGGACTGGGGAAGTCATGCCACAAACATTAACAGGATTCTTCCTACCTCCTGTCCCTGGCATAGTATCTTCGAGATGCATATTTCAATCTATTACAGTATATTCTTGTGTTTATCTTGTCCTAAGACACAGAGCTTCCCTTTCCTTGAGATGTAGATTAAGCCTTTCTTTAACTAATCTCTTCCCAAGACACAGATCTTCCCTTCCAATCACCAACCTAAGAATTGTCGAACCCACCTATAACCTACAAGCTCCTGCTTCTACATGTTCCACCT